ATTCCCGTAAGTTTTTCAATTGAATTTTACATACAACAGTGCTTTCGACTGTTCATTTGTAACTTGATAGCCAGACATTCACATGGAAATGGAGTACTGGACACAAGTAGCTTTCGATCACAGCTCATTGCAACAATGAAAAGAACATACTCATTTTGGTTATAGTGAATCAAGTCAGGTAGAATATGCTCTAGTTTGACGCCTTAGAAGCTATTTTGGCGTCCACATTAAAAACAGAGATTGCCCTGCAGTTTAAGACAAAACAACCTTTTGTCTTTCCTTTTTTTTCTAATTAAGTGATTTATAACTGCTTGTTTCTGTGAGTTAGATAATTCTCCATAATTATGTGCATAATTGAAACAAACCACTAAATGTTTTTCAAGAATAGGCCAAAAGGCTAAGTAAAACTCCACTGTAAGGTCATCATTGCCAGGAGTTTTATTTTTTTGAAAACTTTTCAAAGTATTAAAACATTCACCGATAGTAAAATTTTCCTCACATTTCCCTTTCTGCATTTCAGAAAGTTTAGGTACAGACATGTTCTTTGGAAAGGAGTCTGGCATGGTTTCGCTTTCTCTGATGAATTTGCCTGGTAAAGATTTGAGTACAAACCTTCGAGTTCATCAATGATTACTTTTGGATTCGTTGTCAGAGATTGATCTTCTCTAATAATGTTCTGGATTCTCTCCAAGTTCTCTCCAAGTTCCCTCCAAGTTTAAAAAAGTACTTGTTACTTTTCTCCCGTTGTTCATACCACCTGGCCCTTGAACATACACTGTATTATTGCCCCTTGCACAATATATTCATACTGAAGGTCATGCTCGGTCTTCAGAATCTCAATTTTGTAAACATTTTCTAAAGTTAATATGATTGTAGTCTTTATCATCTAATAAACTTCCATTGAACTTCCAGAAAGAGGGTCCACATACTTGTTCCCCTATTCTGTTAATCGACAACAGGATTGCTGAATAATCTGTCTTAATGGAAGGAATAATATTTGCCTGATCAATCTCCTCTTGCAGATCATTGTCAACTAACCAAAAATCAAGCCTTCTTTGGATTATCGGTGTTTTCTGTCTCCAAGTGAATCATTCTATTTCTGGATTCCTAGCTCTCCAAATGTCAACTAAATCATGCAATAAGTAAATGTTTTCAATCTGCTTAGCCAATTCCTTCAATTTTGGCTTGCCAACAAAACCATCAAGGTCAGGGTCTAAAATAACATTAAAAACTCCAAAAATTATGATCCTACAGTCATCATCTACTGGTATATCACTTTAGCCCAATGCATCCTTAATTTGATCAAAAGGAGTGTTTGCTCACTTGTTTTGTTTTGAGCATAAATGCTCACAAATAAGAACAAAATGCCCCAAGAAAAATAAAATGCCCTTCTTTGTCAGGCCGCACAGATGTAAGTTCAAATTCCAAGCTATCCTTAATTAAGATGAGTACACCTCTTCTATTTTCTGAGAAATGCAAGAAAAACATCTCACCCTTCCACTGCTTTTTCCAAACATTTTCCACGGCAATTGGCTGCCAAGAATAGTATGCCAAAGGAAAGAAATGCTGCTGTGTCAGCAAGTGTCAACGTTTATGTGCAAAGGCAATGGAGGCTTCCGCAAGATTTGCTCTTTATTCATTTCTGAAAGTTTTGAGGGAGCATAAAGCCGACAATTTAAGGACACTTTCAGATGGGATGGCATTGAGAGGTGCAAACAGATTGCATAGTTTATTTTGTTCTTAACATAGACTTAAGAAGTATTGCCAACTGGCTTTGGAAATTTCAACTTCTTAAATAATAAAATTGTGGTTGTTTCACGCGAAGTCCATTTCACTCAGAACCGTTTCAGCAAGTTTGAACTCAGGCCAATTTTAAGGTGTACCAATCTTTCATGCTCATAATCTCTGAACATCACCTCAACCATGTTGCTCAGTTTTGCAGCTTGATGATAGGCCACACACATATGCTTACTGTAATAGTAAATATGGCCATTAATAGTTTGTTACACAGGCAATTAGGCAGCCCATATAGCAAACTATTCCAATAATCAAAGCAGCTTATCAGCATGTGAACAAGAGTTTACCTTGCTTTAGACAATACCAGGTATTTACATTATTATATGTCATGCACATGTATGTGAGAATACAAAGCTACACACCTCTTTACTGTCCACCTGGTGCCTTCTTCCATTTTTCCCTCTCATTTTCCTCATTCCTTGTTTAGATAGCCAAGCAGAGGGAATCACACTCTGAACACGTGCCAGATCATGGAAGGCCACATCCAAGATTGAATTCCATGTTGAAGATTCTCTAGAACATCTTCAATGAGACCACTGGTGTTAGTGTAGAGAAAATGGTGCAGCACCGTTCACTTTTGAACCCATCCTGTAAGGAAAGGTACCAGAGTTCAGAATTTCATGTCAAGACAACCATTCCCTAGCACCATGACCACACTTTGAACGTGGTCAACCATGTTTTTTAACTTCCCACATTGATTTTTTTGTTCATTTTTGGACCATGTGGCGATAATGGTAAATAAAATCTGTTTCTGGAAAGAAAAGTAGGGGTCACTGAACATCCAAGATCGTTAAATCCAGGCAAAGCCATGGCAATGGCCATCTGCCCTATCATTGTTCATTTTTTTACTTAGCACGCACTCTCATACATGATGTAGCGTGTGAATTTACGTGTGTGGTAAGGATGC